TAAAATCCCCCATTTGGATTGGTTACGATCCAAAAATTTGAAACAAACTTTAAATCAAACAAGGTGCAAGTTGCTAGAATAACTTGGGGGGAACTTAGTGAGAAAAATCTTTAGGCATTTCCTGAAATAAGGGTAGACTATTTCATTGCTGCAATCGTTTATGGCACCAAACTTGGAAATGACAGTGTGAGACACCTTCACATGAATTTGGGACCCGGTAGAAGCTGGCTCTCTGAGACATGTAGGTGTTTGACTGAATAAAACGAAAAAGATTCAGTGCTTCCACTTGAACGCACGTTCAAACCTTGGAGCTTGCATCGTCCCTTACTGAAAGCATTGGGCATGGTTCAACAAAGGGGGGGCCAAACACTGGTTCACTCAAAACCAACAGAATTAGATTATGAAACATATACAAAAATAAAAATCAAAAACAAGAAAACTGATCTCCTGAATTTGGCAGATTGTCCCAAGAATTGGTTGGTGCTGTCAGGAAATGACCAACACCCAGCACGCCCTGACGCTTCAGCAAATCTCCCATGATTTTGGTCGGCAGCCCAGGTGCTGTCGGTCTATGAAATAGATCACCCGGAGGTCTGAAGTCGGAAGAACAACGCTACAGGAAATTCACATCAAGGTGGTATGAAAAAATCTTCAAACCGGTCTGTTCCTAAAATCTTCAACACAGCAGGATTCTTTTGGTTTGTAACTCCAGCATTTCTAGATCTGCGAAAACTTCAGACAGCGAGCTGACGCTTTGGTCCGTTCCGAACTGGGTTCGTTGAGACCGAACCTCGAACTACCGCGGCTGGGAAGTCGACCCTCATCGGTACAGCTACGATTCGATGTTCATCCCGGAATTCGAAGTTGGTTGCAGATGGTTTTTTCGTATTGGGTTGCTGTGCAGGAATAGAAATCCTAAGGTTGACACTGGAAATTTATGACTTTCTTACCACACTGACTGCTCGGGGGACAGATGTGCGCTGGAAGACAAATACATTCTCCCACAGAAAAGGCCTCTCTTGCCCGTCTCCAAAATTCCATAGTTTTATTCGCAACTTATATCTGGGCCATCCAATTTGGACACAGGCTGATGTTAGTACCACTCAGTTTCGCTTTGTTGCTTCAAGCACCATTTGGCATCTGATTTCCATCCCCGTCTTCCCGCCCCGCCAAGCCCAGTGAACTTTTCACGACAGCGGCTTCATTCCGCTGGAGATGTTCAAGAGCATGAAGCCTCAAACGGCACTGGCGAAGTTTACGGCACTTTCAATGCTCTTGTAGTCTTGGTTGTGTCACATACTGAATCAGTACACCTTTCAGCAGCTGATGCCTTCTTGTTCTTGTTGTTATTGTTTCTGTTCTTCATGTTTTTGTCCTTGTTCTTGTTCTTGTTGTTGCATTTGTTCTTGTTGTTCTTCTTGTTCTTGTTGTTGCACTTGTTCTTGTTGTTCTTATTGTTATTGTTGTTGTTTTTGCCACCGGGTCAAAAACCGTACGTGTAGTCGTGCTCATTTGAGGAAGTTGGGGTGGGGTGGGGTGGGGTGGGATGTTAACGTTCATTGCGACTGCAACCACATAGTACGTTCTCTTGCACTTCCACACATACGTCATGCTACGCTGCTGCACGTTCTCTGGCACTTCCACACATACGTCATGCTACGCGCTGCTGCACATGCTGCTGCACGTTCTCTTGCATTTCCACACATACGTCATGCTACGCTGCTGCACGTTCTCTTGCACTTCCACACATACGTCATGCTACGCTAGATGATCTTCACTTGCACTTCATGCTACCCTACATGATCTTCACTTGCACTTCATGCTACGCTAGATGATCTTCACTTGCATGGCTTCATCGAAGCCGATGGCACCAGCGTGCGTCATTTTCGCATGGGTACTGACCTGGTCTATGAACAATGGTATGGCATGGTGCAGAGAGCTCCTGAAGATGAAAGGTCAAGGAAGATCCTGATTTTTCCATTGGGACACGCCAAAGCGAAAGCTCTTGGCAAGCCCCCGCCGGAGAGCTACAGAAAAATTAAAGCTGCCGGAGCATTTGCTTTTGTGGGTAAAAACCCAAATGGAACATCTTCTTGCTTGTTGACAGATGGTGCTCCCTGCTACCCAAAGGTAGCAAAAGAGTGCCGTGCGAAACATTTCTTTGTAAACCATAGTGCTGGGGAATTCCAACGCACAGAAAGATTTCGAAACAGAGCCTTGAGTGGTCACACAGGCACCATTGACAGCTGCTGGACGCAAATGAAAACGTATATTCCAAAGTCACTCAGCTCTCAGTCAAAACAAATACCTTTGCGTATCCGCAGTTGGCAATGGAGGTTCACACATGCTGAGCATGATAACTTGTTTCAACTCTGTGGCACTCAAGTGGCCAAGTTGTAGGCAAGACAAGTCAGCGAGTAAAAAACGCACGCCGCTGTGGAAATAGACACATCGGATCCCAGAGATGCATCCGTGGAGGACACGGCATTTTGACAAAAATTGCTTGTCGCTGAGGTAAAACACACAAAAAACAGAAAACGCAACCAGAATTAGACATTTTTCATCATCGCCAGAGACAAAATCACTGGTAAATCCCATTGTTGCTCATCAGTGCCGAGAGGTGAATTGCTAACGCCTACACGTTCCATTCCCGCCCCGGCGGGTTGTTTTTGTTCTTGTGTTTGTTCGTGCTCTTCTTTTTGTTGTTGTTGTTGTTGTTGTTCTTGTTCTTGTTCTTGTTCTTCTGGTCCTTGTTCTTGTTGTTGTTCTTGTTATTGCTCTTCTTGTTCTTGCTCTTCTTGTTCTTGTTGTCGTTGTCGTTGTTCTTGTTCTTGTTATTCTTGTTTTTGTTCTTGTTATTGTTGTTGTTCTTGTTGCTATTGGTGTTGTGTTGTTCTTGCTGTTCTTGTTCTTCTTGTTTTTTTGTTCTTGTTATTGTTGTTGTTCTTGTTCTTCTGGTCCTTGTTCTTGTTGTTGTTCTTGTTATTGCTCTTCTTGTTCTTGCTCTTCTTGTTCTTGTTGTCGTTGTCGTTGTTCTTGTTCTTGTTCTTCTTGTTTTTGTTCTTGTTATTGTTGTTGTTCTTGTTGCTGTTGGTGTTGTGTTGTTCTTGCTGTTCTTGTTCTTCTTGTTTTTGTTCTTGTTATTGTTGTTGTTCTTATTGCTGTTGGTGTTGTGTTGTCCTTGTTGTTCTTGTTCTTGTTGTTCTTGTTCTTGTTGTTCTTGTTGTTGTTCTTGTTGTTGTTCTGGTTGTTGTTCTTGTTGTTGTTCTTGTTTTTGTTCTTGTTGTTGTTCTTGTTTTTGTTCTTGATATTGTTCTTGCTCTTCTTCTTCTTCTTCTTCTTCTTATTCTTCTTCTTCTTCTTGTTGTTCTTGTTGTTGTTCTTGTTGTTGTTCTGGTTGTTGCTCTTGTTGTTGTTCTTGTTTTTGTTCTTGATATTGTTCTTGCTCTTCTTTTTCTTCTTCTTCTTCTTATTCTTCTTCTTCTTGTTGTTGTTGTGGTGGTGGTGGTGGTGGTGGAATTGATTGGGCATCATTGAGGCCTCACTTGTGGAGGCCTGGAGGCTTGGATTGTGAACCGTTGAAGCCTGTTGGAAGCATTGAAACCATGGCGGGGAATCAATGCAGCCTGTGGAATCCTTCTTGTTTTCGACATTAGAGCACCTTTCTGAGGATAATCTATTGCAGTCGCAGACAAGGGTCAGAAACTCTAAATGCAAAAATTGCAAAAGTGAGGATGCAATCATTCAACCTTCTCAAACAAGGGTTCATACAGCCTCTTACTGTAAAATATCCGACAACGGGCTACACTGCCATGCCAGGGTATATCACGTTGGTGTAGATCCTGCCCCCGTGTCATTCCTTCTATTTGAGTCAAGACACTTGCGAAATGCGTAAGCATCAGAAAGTGGACAAAATGTCCAATTGCTGCAATGCCTGACCAAGTTGGTCGACCGAGCCAGGTTCCATGGTTTCCCAATCGGAAAATGGTGGGGTTTCCTTGGAAATCTCCACCCTGACTTTCCGGAAATCTGTGCTGCAACGGTTCCGTTCGGGCCCACGGTTGTTGCAGAAACTCTCGGAAACCAACGAGCTTCACGAGGTCCAGGTGTTGATTTGAAAGGAAATTTCACTGGAAACTGTGTTTTCTTAACCCGAAATATGAAGCTTTTAGGCCCCCCAAGGATCCTAAAAAAGGCATTTTTAGATGTCCTCACAGGTCCCAAAATGATTTTGGTGACCAACATCGACTGCCGGCAGTTGATCAGGCCTGCAAGATGTCGGATCTTCCAGGAGGTCACCAAATCCTCAAAGATGTAGAAACCTCAGCTGTGGCGCTCCGGTATATTTAAGTGTTGCTTTGTGTATAGATACTATGTATGTGTATATTTATATATAGTAATGATATATATATATACATATATGTTATAATCATATATATATATTATAATCATGTATGTATATATATATACATGTTTGCTAAAGAATAGAGTGTCTTTTCCAATCCAAAGATGTTTTCACAAGAAAAAATGCTTCACCAGGAAGCAGATTTGAACAACAATAGATTCGCAGTCGGGCAAGGGTCAGCTGAGCAGTTGGAGTCACAAGTTGCTGTTGGAGGAATTTGTGTCGCCTGTGAAGAGGACCCAAGAAGTAAGGTTGACATGATATGCCAATATACACCATGCAGTAGCTGAAAAATGGTGAACTTTCGCCCAGCAGGCGGTAGCTTCAGTGACAAGCGGCCAACCAGAAAGACCTGAGCATCCGCTGAGATCCAAAAATGCCCAGTGGGTCGAAATGTCGAATCCTACTTTCTCAGAAAATCACTCTTAAAGAATCAAACCACTGACTTTGTTTCGTGTTTCCCCACCAGGATTTCGTCACTTTTCCTCTGAGTTTAAAAGTACAGTCTTTTCTCACCTCACCTGTCAATGGCTCAATGGCACAGTGCCAAGCCGCCCATCCTGACAGTGTCGCCGTTTTCAAACGGCCCATTTCATCACCAAGTCACAAAGAAGAAGACGGCCTGGCGGGTCAAGTCGACCCCACCAGTTCTCGTCACCTGCGGGCTGGCCGTCCTTTTGAAAGAGATGCTCACTGACTCACTGCTATACTTCAAGCAGGCAATTACAACGAAAAAACCTACCAGTATACAAACTGTGACATTGCAGAAGATCCAGGTTCCCTTCCAGTTCCAAGTGCTCCACTACAAATCACTGAAAACTGGAAAATCAAGAACCAGCAACTAACTGGCGCTCTACCAAGACGCATCATCGTTCTTCTTGGCAGATTGGTGAACCATCCTAGGATCAGCAGATGGTCCGTTTGCTTCGATGATTTACCTATTAACAAGGGTTATTCTCCGTAGTAGACTGTTAATGGACCACATAAGTAGCAAGGTGGAGACCCCTTCTACACATCGCTGGTTCCCAATTGTAAAACGAGATTGCGCTGCTGCCCAAAAACAAGTACAGAAACACACATGAACGACTACATCGCCTGCCAACATCTATAGGTTTACATAGTTTACATCCTTATATTATATATTATATATTATATATTATATATTATATATTATATATTATATATTATATATTATATATTATATATCAAAAATTATATATTATAATATATATATATTGTATATCAAAAATTATATATTGTAATATATATATATATATATTGTATATTATATATTATATATTATATATTATATATTATATATTATATATCAAAAATTATATATTATAATATATATATATTGTATATTATATATTATATATTATATATTATATATTATATATCAAAAATTATATATTATAATATATATATATTGTATATTATATATTATATATTATATATTATATATTATATATCAAAAATTATATATTACATATTATATATTATATATTATATATTATATATCAAAAATTATATGTTATAATATATGTATATATATTGTATATTATACATTATATATTATATATTATATATTATATATTATATATCATATATTATATATGATAATATATATATATTATATTATATTTATATATTATATGTTATATGTTATATATCATATATTATATATTATATATTATATATTATATATTATATATTATATATATTATATATTATATATTATATATATTATATATTATATATTATATATTATATATTATGTATTATATATTGTATGTTATATATTATATATTATATGTTATATCATATATCATATATTATATATTATATATTATATGTTATATGTTATATGTTATATATTATATATTATATATTATATATCATATATTATATATGATAATATATATATATTATATTATATTTATATATTATATGTTATATGTTATATATCATATATCATATATTATATATTATATATTATATATTATATATCAAAAATTATATATTACATATTATATATTATATATTATATATTATATATTATATATTATATTATATTATATTATATTATATATATGGTTTTAGTATTATGTTCAGTACTATTGTTGTTGTTATTGTGATTAGTGTTATTACTAGTGGTACTCTTATCATCATTGGCATCATCATTTTTACTTATTATCACTATGATTGTTATTGCCGTTATTATTACTCTATTAATCATTAAGCATAATTATCATTGTTATCGACCTGTTCATTATCTTTTGTGATTGTATTTACAGTATATTCATTGCATTCCTTATCTTCGCTATTTCACTAGTGTCATTATTATCATTACTGTCATGATTCTCGTTGTTATCATGATTAGATATTATTATCACTTTTATTGTTACTCTGATTATTGACATTCTTTTGTTATTAGTAATACTATTGTTACTAGCATGTTACGCCTTATTTTTACTACTATCATTATTATCATCGTGATCATTATTATGTTACTAATCGCTAGTTCTATATGTATTCTATTCTCAATATCCTTTTAAAGATGTGTTCCTCTCAACTTCTTGAACCCATCATGTAACCTTTCAAACTCACCCTGGCCCCATGGCATGGAAACCCTCACCCTGGCCACATCGCTGCCCAGCAGCCACACGGCTGGGACGAAGCCCAAGACCTCGATGTAACTGGAGGCCGTGAAGATCACGTGTTCCAACAAGCTGGTGGACCTTGCTATTGGTGCTGGGTCGTCTGGGTCGTCCCCTATCCGTGCGCGCCGTGCGTTCAAGGCAGCCCTTTGACATCTTTGACTGATGCGATCTGATGCTTTTTATCGCCGGATGCGATATGTATTTTGTGTAACCATTAGACATCCTTAGACCACAGGATCGGAGGTGACGACCAAAACCAGGTGACAGGGCAGATGAGGATTCAGAGGGATTCGGGGAAGATGAGTGGGTATCGACTGTTGGGACCCGGAGCAAAACGGGTTAGAGTTCTTAACCCAGAACCGTTTGCTGATGAGAATAACACATCTATTCATAGGATCTAATGCGTTTCTACACAGAAAGGCTAGGATTAGGAAATAGCAAAAACGACGGTAATTAATAAACTCCATGCATTGCCTTTCTTTGAGTTTCTTAAGCAGTCTGAAAAGCAGCGAAAAAGTCGACCGAGCCTGTAGGTTGATTTGGGGCCAAGCTACTCTGGACGAAAAATCCAGAAGTATCAAGGTCCATGTGTATATACAGTGTGTATGTATGTATATGTATACATATATATATATGTGAGTGTATATATATATGTATATGTATGTGTATATATATATTTACAGAGAGAGAGAGAGAAACTATATCTACTATGTATACTACATATATATATATACTATACTGTATACTCTATACAGTATATATGCTATGTAGACTACGAGTAGCACAGCAGTGCTAGTTGGTCCTAGTTGGATTGCTATGTAATGTATGTGGCTTGTCGCCCACAAGATTGGTGAGAATACCAGGATGATGAAAATGGTTCTTGTAGAGTTTGCCTAAAATGAATTCCTACCAATGGGTGTTTCTGGCAGCCTGGCTCCACCAAAACTCCCGGAGGGTTGCCGATGAAACTTGGGGTGCCCCCTTCTGAATCAACCAAGTCTTAGCGCTGGTCGACCCCGGACACATTGCACGGTAGTTCGCACACCATCTGATTGGTGCATCTCAGAGTCTTGAGGTGCTACATGTTTGCGTATCCCTTGAAGTTCCTGCCATCAAACCCCCCAAAGGTAGACCCACCAGTCACTGGACGGCATCCGCAACTTGGGATGGTTCTGAATTGGGGCCCAGAATGAGCCCAGCCACGCTTCATAGTCGATGACTTCTGTGACGATAGCCCCACTGGTTGCCAGCAGTATGAGACACACCACATCGATGTGTTCCTGTGGCCAAATGGAGACACAACCTGTGCGCCTGAAACTTGAAATTGGGCCATTTGGGGTCCGTGAAAATTTAGGAGTGCACCCTCCAGTCAATTCAAGAAGGAACAGCCGGCCGTTTCTTCAAACCGACAGGGACAAGTCGTTGCAACATATTCATGGGTCCTACAGCATCAAACGGAAACCCGGAGCTTTTTGATGCTCGATCACAGATCGAATCCTAGTCCCAACTGTAGAACTGTCCATTTCACCAGAATAATCCAAAGTCAAGTGGGAACGCCTGAACGCCAGAATAATCCAAAGTCAAGTGGGAACGCCTGAACGCCTAATCCAAAGGCAAGCTTTAAGGAGCCAAGACCCCAATAGGTGTGCTCCAATTTCAACTCAATTTCTAAGGTGACATGATCATCTCCCACATCGCGTCAAGGCTCCAAAAATGTGTCCAGTTTCCACTTGAATCGGAAGCCCACGTGTAGCCTCGACACCATCTGCCACTTGATATACCCTGAGAGCACAAACCTCAAATAATACCTACTGTAATACATAGTAAGTACAAGTTCACATTTGGTAAGCCTGATTGGAAGATTTGTACCAAAAGAATGCATTTTTTTTGGTTTGGATGTTGTTCAAGTTTGACCCACGCCCACATCTCAAACTGTGGAAACCGTGAGATTCAGACAGCTTTGTTTCACAAGAAAAAATAATTAGAGCGCCATCAATTTTGGTTTTCTTTCGTAACCAATTCTCTTTGGTCCATCGTCACGCGCGTTTGATCTGGTAGCATGCTTTGACGATCCATGAAAAGTGCTTTGGATTTCATGATGTTGATATATGGGGATGGGTCAAAACCCTATCCCCCTGGTGAACATCAAAATAGCTGGTAAATGGATGTTCATCCCCCTAAAAATGGTATGTATAGGTATTGATCCATAGGCATATGGCCCAAAAATGCCCCTCCAAAAAGGTGTCACGTCTCTAATTGCGACATAGGATCTGTTTTTTGATCCAACATGGCAATGGAAAATATTGGAAAATCTGGATGATTTGCAGCTGCAAAACGATTTTTCAGGGCCTGTCCCTTGATGGTGTCCCATTGATCTTGGGCATCATTGTTCTGGGGTTTGGTGGGCTCAAAAAGTAATCAACCCCATGTTTGTTGCCCTAAATTGCCATGTTTAGTGGGCCAAATTCATCAAATCCCAGCCTACGGGATTTTGGTTTTCCCAATTCTTCAGCCAAACCCATATCCTCAGTTTTTGGCTAGCCCGGGATAGATATGGAAAGCCAATGGTTTCGCTAGGAGATGCCATCAAAATGTCTGAAAATTGGATATCTACTCCCAATATGTGGCACTTCTGGTGAAAATGATCACCATCAAATGTTGGAAAAATTTCGGGAATACCCTTTTTTGAAACTCCAAATGGAGGTACCCTCTGGTAAATTAACATAGACCCTGGCAGATAGGGGTTGGAAGACTAGTTTCCATTAAAAATGGGTGATTTTCAGGGTCTATGTTTATTTACCAGAGGGTATACCCAAAGACGAAATGCCGCTTTTTGGTTCGAAAGACCTGACGCCCTGACGAGCAGCACGACCAGCACCGCAATGACCCCTACCAAGTTGGACCAGCCGATGCCCACTTCCATCAAGGGCCAAGCCTGGCTTCAGCGGTGGTCCAATCGATGGAAGGAGAGGTTTCCTGGAGAATTTCTCAACCATTTCTGCTCTGCAACAAAAAAAACAAAAAAAAAAACGAGGCAGGAGCTCAACCAGATTTGGGGCTTCACCAACAAACATTTGAGGAGTGATCCCATAGATCTTACATAACAGGGATGATTATGAAAGCATTTCAACGGCTCCAGGTGCTGAACCGTTGGGTTGGATATCAGGAAGCCAGCATGTATATATGTATATATGTATGTATCTATGTATGTATGTATCTATCTATCTATCTATCTATGTATGTATCTATGTATCTATGTGTATATATATATATGCTATAGGTATCAACTATGTCATATATGTCATATGTGTACAACATGTGTATATTATATATCTGTTAACTATCATGTCCTATCTACATTAACACTTGTGTAGTTGGTTAGTCATAGGGTCATGATAGGGTTGAAACTGGGACATGTCCTGTAATTTTCCATCAAACAAATCATCGGAGTTAAGCCAGTTAAGCGACCGTGAATTCAATGTTTTTAGCCAGCCAAAGTTGGGCTGACCAACCAAACATAGCGACTGAACCTATAGAACTTGAGGGTTCACCCGCCACAAAAAGAAAAGGTTGACAGAAATTGGGGAGAACTGGATTTCATTGGTAATTTCCATGGCAATTTCCATGGCAAGGTAAATTTCCAGATTTCACAAGACAATCATCTGCAAATGGTGGATTAAGTGGATGAACTCATCCCCACCTGGCATGGACTTTCTGAGCACTGGCTTAGGGCACATCCAAGTGATGGGTGCAGTTCCGACGGTAGGATGGCCATCCCGCAATCATCTTCTTGGGAACCCCATTTTGAGTCCTTCGGAACACAAGAAGTCGACTTAGCCACTATCGCAGCTGTTTTCCCAAGTCCTACCTCCATACTGGTGAATGTGCTAGCTATGTTTGCTAGCTTTTATCATTCTGTTTTTGTTGGTTTATCAATGTTTATCATGCCTTTATTGGTTGAAACAGTTGAAACACCCAGCTTTGCCCATGTTTTGCTGCTTGGATCCATCGATATCGAAAGCCAGGAGGCTGCGACTCTCAGGATCATGAAGCATCCATGGAGCAGCAGCACCTCGAAAAACGGGAACGGAAAAAAGTCACCGGAAAACCATGGTGTTAAGCCATGTTAAGCCTGGTGTTTCCGAACATGGAGAGCTTTCGGAATGTTCTGGAATGTTCTGGAATGTTCTTCCAATTCTTGGCCAATTCTTGGCCCATCCCCAAATCATCAGATGCTGGTCAAAATAGCCCCAATCCTCATGGATTGACAAACTATAGTCAATAGGTCATGTCTTCCCAGTACCCTTCTGTTTACATCCGAATAGTCATGTTGAGGTGTGATTTGCAACCAATTTGAAAATAGGTCTTTAGTATTGATCCACTCATTTGGATGTGTCCCAAGACCCAGGTACCCTGGTTTGAACATCAACCAATGGCATGGACCCAATACGCATCTGCTGGTCTCACCCCATCCAACATGATCCTCAACTGCACTGTGGGCCATCATCTCATTTGTAGGATTGAACATGAATATGTATGTATATATATAATTATATATATATAATTATATATATATATGATATACCAACAACTCGATCTTGGTTGATCTACCCATTACATTTCTTATTGTATGCTTAACCATCCTTTCGTACGGTTCCATCATCATTTTTGTCGATTAAATTCATTCAACCCATAGATTATTTTCAATGAATTCTGGTATATACCCTTCATCCATCCCATTTCCAGTTACAGTACACAATCCACATCCCAGTGAAGTCCAAAAAAATCTTGGTGGAATTCCCGAAAAGGCTGAAATATCGCCATAAACTCCCGGCTTGGATTCTGCAGATTCCTTCAAAATACCACTCACATTCTTGGGCTTTGACCTCTCCCATGGAATATGGGACATCCCTGGGATCTCCCCGTAACGCGCAACGGTACCGCACCGTTGCCTTGGTCCCAAAGCGCGCCAACATGGCCTCTGGGTCTGGGCATGACCTCGGTATCGGCATCTGTTGAGATATGGTCCAGATATATATGGTGAAATTTCGAAGGATTAAAATGGGATTAAACCAATAGAAATGATATTGACAATAGATTTGGACCAAAACATTGATGATTATGAGATTGGAGATATAGATTTCATAAATCCCAAACTAGAGTTGAAGACTAGAGATAAGGACTTAACCACTGAATATGTCATGGTTTAATGTGTGTTTTTTCGTGAGATCATTCAACAACTTGCAACTACAAACCGAGTACGGATATGGATAGTAATGGATATATTTATCTATCGTTAGTAGTGGATATCTCTATACTTAGATATCTTAGATGTGTTTGTCATCCATCCCATGCCATGATGCCATGGGAATCATGGGCAACTTGGTGTCATCGTAACGAAAACTCATGGGGATATAACCAGCAAAAACTGGAATTCACGGTAACCAATGAATAGATATGACCATTTTATGAAAAACTTATGGATTTTACCGGAATGCAATGGGATATAATATAACTATAGTTGCCCAAGTTGGTTTATGACTACAATATCTATATATAGTTTATGATAGTATAAAGGGACTGCTGGGAATACCTAACCAATAATGTGAAATGTTTGACTTTGCCCGATTCACCACAATTTGTTTCTTTTCAAATAGAGAATATTTCAACCATAGGTACCCTGTTTGCAAAGAAACCATATGACCATATATGACCATTGCATCTACGAGATGTTGACACATGTTTCTCTCAAGCTGACATTTGTTCCTCGCGTTGTCCCCCATATATGTATTGTACATGCATATGTATGTACACATGTATGTGTATATATATGTTAATTTCCAACAGTGTGAGCACCATTTGCCCAGAGGTCCAACCATTCGTCGCAACCTGCAGGGGACTCTTTTCGCTCGAGGTGAAAACATGCCCGCGCGTCGGAGTGCACAGGGTTGCACCTGTTGATAGCCAGCGGCCAGTTTTAAGACTGGTAGCGGAGCCGTCCAAAGGAGGTTCCCTCGAAGTAGGATCTTCGAGTGGCTCAGTGTGAGCGCCATGGCAGGTGCTTCTGGAACTGCCGATTGGGCAGGCAAGATGTTCTCAGGAGAGAATGAAGACTCTATGGAGTACAAGCGATGGAAGACCTGGGTTGTGAATAAACTGCTCACTTTGGACTCTAAAGTTCCAAAGGAGGCTCGTGGAGCCTATGTGTATACACTGCTGGCCGGCAAGGCCTTGGATTGCATCGAACATCTGGAGCCGGTTGAATATCAGAAAGAGGGCGGAGAACAGGTGATTTTTCAGCTGCTTGACAGTCGTTTTCCTCAGAAGGATACGTCAGATGAAATGAGTGAAGTTTTGACAGCTGTTTTCAACCTGCGTGCCCTGGAAGGTGAATCACTCAAGGTCTGGATTTCTAGGGCTGGCGAGCTTTTTGATAGATGCAAGAGGAAATGCAAGGTGGATTTCCCATCTGAAGCACGTGGCTGGTTGATCCTCAATCGGTCAGGGTTGACAGAAGAACAGAAGGCTGTAATTCTGGCAAGAAGCGGCGGGTCTTTGACCAAAGATGAGATCGGCCGGGCCATGAGGTCTTGCTATCCAGAGTTTACAGTTCCCAAGCGACGTCTGGTAGGTGTCAATCTGGTTGAGACCGGCGATGAACCGTCTGTCGATGATGAAGATTCAGATCCTCTTGCACTGGAAGTCGAGGCTTTTCTAGCTGAGCATGGTGAGCAGTCCGGTGAAGATCCAACTGAGGTCTTTGAAGAATCGGAGGTCGCCGAGGCCTTAGCTGTATCTTGGAAAGACAAGAGAAAAGAGCTGGGCCGTTTGCAAAGGTCTCGCAAGTTTGGAGCAGCGTCAGACTTGCGCAAGTCATATAGAGTCGAGATCGAGGAACTTAAGAAGAAGACTAGATGTCACAAGTGCCAGCAAGTGGGACATTGGTCCCGCGAATGCCGCAACTCCTCCAAAGGAAAGGGTCGTGGATCTGGTGCTGCGTCTAGCTCAAAAGGGTCCGATTCTGGAGTTGCAATGGTTGAGTCAGCTGAGCCGTTTGTGGAGAATTTCATTGCAGCGGTGGCAAATGACTGGTCAAGTTCTGAGCGCAATGTGCTTGACATTTTGCGCCAACGACGTGCCAAGGAGATTGACAATTCCATGTCTACTTCCAACTCTGAGATTTTGCTTGTGAGCTCCCCGGGTTTTGGGGTGATTGATTCAGGTTGTGGCCGCACAATAGTGGGTCAGGAGACGTTGAGCAGCTTCGAGCCATTGTGGAAAGCTCGGGGTATCTCCAAACCAGAGCCATTCTCCGAGGTCAATCATTTCAAGTTTGGAAATGGGGAACGTGAAACAACTGCCTTCTCAGTGAAACTGCCGGTGATTGTAGCTGGAAGAACTGGTTTCATTAAAGCAGCAATTGTGAAGGGATCAGCTCCCCTTCTCATCTCCCGCAAAGCTCTTCAGACTCTTCAAGCTGTAGTGGATTTTGGAAAGAATCAATTGTCTCTTTTTCAAGAACAAGTGACAGTGCCTTTGCAGACCAATGAAGCTGGCCAGTATGTCATAGATGTTCTAGGACCTGAGACATCATTCTCGTCCACGGAGTCCCTGCCGCAGTTTGAGGAGGTCATGATGAATCAGCCACCCGTAGATTTGCCTGAGCCTGCCACTCCGCCGAGTGTTCTCAACGAGTCCGCCAAGGAGGCAGACCGGTTGTCATGTCCAGGAGACGGCCGTCAGTTGCAAATGTGGTTCAGGGTTGATTCATTTTTAGATAAGACTCTTACAACAGGCAAACAAGGTCCATCATGGCAATCAGTGAAACGGCGTCGAGTTGTGAACGCCGACACTCATGAAGTTCTGTTTGATGAATGGATTTCTCCTCACCGTAAGAAGTCATTTTATCGACATGACATTCCTCATGAAGTGTTGCATGTAGTGACGGAATTTCACTTTCTTCCTGAGGAGAAAGCAGCCGCAATTGAGAGCCTGCCAGTTCATTGCATGCGTCAACTAGAGTCACAGGTGAAGGAAGTTGCTGTAGGAGCTCAGTCAGATCGTAGTGACACCCCCTTACTGGTCGCTGAAGTGTTTAGTCCACCTCGTTTTGCACCGTTGGTTGAGGGCATTGGGGGTCAGTGCAAGTCCTTTGATCTGACAACCGGCTATGATTTGTCACAGCCAGACGTACGTGCCCAAGTGGCAGCCGAGCTCAAGCAGAATCCACCTGATTTATTAATACTCTGCCCACCGTGCACAGATGAGGGAGGCTGGTTTAACCTAAACGCATGTACCATGGATCCAAAAGAATACATCCGTAGGGTTCGCAGAAGCCGCCTTTTCATCCGTTTTTGCTGTCAATTGTTTGAACAACAGGTGAAAGCCGGTGGACAAGCACTCATGGAGCATCCTAAGGGCTCCAGGCTGTGGACTTATCCCGAAGTCCAAGCTCTGCTGAAGGACCACTTCTTGCTGACTTGCCACATGTGTAGGTACGGTCTTAGGATTCCTGGTCAAGAACATCTCATTCGCAAAGCCACACATTTGTTGGTTACCCATGATCATATGAAGTGTTTGGCAAAAGAATGTCCGGGGTCAAGCCATCCTCACCATGACTGTCATCAGCCAATTGCGGGGTCCAGTTCTGTTGTCGGCCGTATCAGCACTTTTGCAGGGAAATACACACCACAGTTTGTGGAAGCCGTAGTGGACACTGTCCCAAAATATGTCAAGCTTAAGCAAGAGGTGTTAGCCGTGTGTCCACAGTGGACGCTGCAGCAACAGAACGAAGTTCTCGCCGCCAAGCCAGACTTGTCTGAGGATCGACCGGAGGAAGAGCTTATGAAGGTGATTGACAAGGTTCATCGTAATCTAGGCCACCCACCGACGTCAGATCTTGTTCGAATCCTCAAACATGCCAAAGCGTCCGAGAAAGCCATTCAATTAGCTCAGAAGCACACGTGTGATTTCTGCAAAGCACAAGTGAAGCCACATGTGCCCCTGCCGGCAAAGTCCTCACGGCCTCAAGAGTTTAACCAATGTGTGGGCTTGGATGTTAAGAACCTGAATGGATGGAAACCCAACCAAAAGATTAAGGCACTCAACATTGTAGATCAGGCAAGTTGCTATCAGCTCATGATTCCCTTCCATGAACGGGAAACATCCGAAGTTTTGCGACGGGAATTTGCGAATCACTGGGTGCGTATCTTTGGTCCTCCGAAAGAGGTGATCGTCGATCAAGCTCAAACCAACCTTGGAGAGGGTTTTCAGGGGTACCTAGAGTCAATTGGATGTCATGTTCACCAGATTGCTGGAGAAGCACATTGGCAGCTTGGTCGAACGGAATCCCATGGAGGCTGGTTTTCACGTGTCTTAGACAAGACAATGTCTGAGTTTCCTCCGACAACACAGGAGGAATGGGAAAGCTGCGTGACTCACTCACATGTGAAGAATTCCATGATTCAGTCTTATGGTTATACTCCACATCAGCATGTTTTTGGTAAGAATCCCAATATTCCGTCCGATCTCATGAGTGAGCCATTGCATGTTGTACCAGCCACGTTAGGGTTGTCTGATGAAGCCGTAGCTCGTGCCCAGGCCATTAGGTCAGCAGCCAGGTTGGCCGTACTTCAGACTCAGGATGATCAAGCCCTGCGGAGAGCCTTTTCAGCTCGGCCTCGCTTACAACAACAGTTCCGCCCAGGTGATTTAATAGCATACTGGAGAGCTCAGAAATATCAGCAAGGCAAAGTTCTTTTGGGTGGCCAATGGTATGGAACTGCAGTTGTCATCGGGAGCATTGGTAAAAACTACATCATTGCACATCGAAGACAAATTTTTCGTGCAGCTCCAGAACAAATGAGACCTGCCACTAGTGAAGAAAGAGCACTTGTCACCACTCCAAATACGGAACTGCTGGGGGTTAAAGACATGTTGGAAGGTGGAACTTTTAGGAGCAGTCAGTACATCGATTTGGTTCCTGGTTTGTATCCACCAATGGCTCCCGGTCCTGACCGCAGCACGCCAGACGTGTCACCAGAGGCCTCTCCACCAAGTGAGAAGCCCAGGGCCTCTAGTGTTGATGTTCCTATGGAGCCAACTGCTGAGACCAATGTCGGGTCAAATGATCAACCAGACAAGTCTCCAGTTCCTCTAGAGGAAAGAAATTCCCCTGATCAAGCGATGCCAGAGCCTGCAGCCGCCTCGACATCAGGTCCAATGGTTGAGCCTCATGATGAGTCCACCTATGGGCCCATGAGACGGGTACCGTCGAAGAACGGTCCGGCATCCCTGTACAGACCACCGACGATGCGCGAACAGGACTTTGTGGACATGATGCGTGAGGTTGTTCCACGTTTGATTGAACAGGCCACTCAGTCTGGTGGACAATCACTATCCTCATCATCATCCACCACTGCCACTCATGTTGAGACCCACAAACGGTCCCACGAAGGTCCTGAGTCCACTGAACCACCATCCAGTCGCCAGCGTGTTGATACCGTTTCGGAAGTGCTGTCCGTAGAAGATGTGTCTGCTTTGTGTCAACAGTTTGAAGATCCCAATGTTTCCTTTGAGGTGATGATGGCCAGTTATCTTCAGAAGAAAACTAGTAAAGAATTACCTCACAGCAACAATCATCCAGATCTTCAGAGTTTGATTGACGAATCAAAGAGAACTGAATGGAGCACCATCGTTGACAAACAAGCAGTTAAGATTCACTATGGTAAGAGAGCAGCAAAGCTTTTGGAAGCACATCCAGACCGTTTCATTGGCAGCCGTTTTGTCATCACACGCAAAGCTGCGGACGAAAGCCGTCCAATTGTGGATGACGACCCCAGCACATACAGGGTGAAGAGTAGATGGTGTCTGCAGGGGCATCTAGACCCCGACCTTGATCGTAAAGTTCAGGATGGTTTGTTACAGTCTCCTACGTTGAGTCAGACCGGGCGCATGCTTGTGATGCAATTGATTTCCTCTTTTCAATGGGAACTTCAACTTGGGGATATAAAAGGGGCTTTTTTAGAAGCTGGGCCTCTACCCACAAAGTTCAGGCCTTTGTTTGCAAGACTCCCTCCTGGAGGAATTCCAGGACTGCCCCGAGAAGCCGTGGTTGAGGTGGTAGGAAATGTTTATGGTCAGAACGATGCGCCGTTGGCGTGGCATCGCACGTTTGACTCCGAGGCTGTTCAAATCGGTTGGGAACGCTCAAAGTTTGATCCCTGTTTGTACTTTTTGAGAGAGGATTCTAAGCTTGTAGGTGTCATGGGAGTGCATGTCGATGACACAGCGTTGGGAGGATCGGGTCAAAAGTTTCAACAGGCAGTCAAAGCTTCGCGTCAGAGATTCCCCTATAGGAAGTGGCGGATCGGCCAAGGCGAGTTTTGTGGTGCTTTCTACACTCAAGACCCCAAAAGTAAGACCATAAAGATGTCCCAGAGTTTGTTCACTGACAAGCTTCGTCCTGCCACGATCCCCAAGACAGCATCTCCTGAGGATCTCCTGTCAGAAGCACAGGTGAAAGTTCTCCGCGCGATCAATGGATCACTCAACTGGCTCTCGAGTCAGTCCAGACCGGATTTGGCTGTGCAAACTAGTCTCAGCCAACAGGCCTTCCCGAATCCCAAGATTCGACACCTGCGAGATGCCAACAATGCCATACGGCGAGCTAAGATGCATAAAGACTTAGTCATCTCGTTTGAGCCAATTTCCCCCGAAAACCTTTGTGTGTGTTGCCACTCAGATGCCGCCTTTGCAAATGTAGGAGTGCATACTCAGGCAGGGTACATTTTGGCCTTTGTAGATAAGTCTATGCATGAAGGAGCAGTGTCGCCTTGGACACCTGTCATCTGGAAAAGCTACCGCCTTCCAAGGGCTGTTAGTTCAACTCTTGGAGGGGAGGCACAAGCTCTTGCCACGGCATCCGGTTCTGTTGAGTGGTTGAATTTGCTTTTAGCAGAAGCCATTGATGGTAGCTTCGCACCAAGCACATGTAGATCTCTTCTTGCACGTCGACCAGCGATCCTTGCGACTGATTGCAAATCTTTATATGATCATCTGATTTCACCTTCATCCCCCACTGCAGTTGATGATCGACGTACCAGTATAGATATTGTGATCATAAGGGAATCCATTAAACTGTTGTCAGCCCAGATTAGATGGTTACCCACAAATCGTATGATTGCAGATGGTCTCACGAAAGACAAGGTTGAGCCATGTGACTTGCTGCGTTCCTGTGTTCGCGCTGCCTCGTACCAAATTTCTCCTGAGGATCATGTGCTAGCACAGAAAGCTGCAGAACGGGCAATCCGAGCCAAAAATCGTGTGGCAAGATCCCCAGTGGAAGAGCCATCTGGGGGAAGTGATTGCTCATGGGAAATTCCACAAACCAAAGAATAGACGTTTTCATTGCTGCAAAATCGATAGCTTGAATAAATAGGGGCAGTCAGAATCTGATTTTCTTGAGTGCAAGGGATGTTCTTGAAGCTGTCTTGTCAGTAATGCCTTTTCCAAGTAAGTTTTGTGTTCCAATCCTTTCATCCTGCGTCACGAGCATCCGCTCCAGTTTCCTTATCTTTGTGCAGCCAGGTAATTGTTTTTACTGGAAAGCCGATGTTTTTCTCGGGTAATCCACCCGTGACCGGGCAGCCATTTTTTGCACAGTTTAACTTGCGTGGCAAGCTTAACCAGCTTGCTTGTGTTTCTACATAGGTCCATTGGGATGGCCCTGACACCAGCGGAAACCATGGAACTGCAGCGCCTGCTGGCGAAGGCAAAATCCCGACCGATGCCGAATCTCAACAGTGATGGAGAAGAGTTTGCGATCTATGATCCACACACTGGCTTGTTTACCAACCCGGAGACCGGAGATGTCATGGATGTGTGGAGTGCTGCTGAGGAGCAGCATGGGGGCGCGATGACAGACGGCTCGAAACGCCGTGATGATGATCAGCCGATCCCTCACCATTCAAAGAGGGTAATGGTGCCGCAGGCCAAGGCCTACAGTGCTGGGACTTCCAGCCAAGTGCCTGCCCTGTCGGCCTACACAGCCGTGAATGTGGCAGCTGGCGTTCCGTTTCCTGATTCTTCTGGAACGCTGCCAGCTTTTCCCGCCGGAGTGCCTGACTTGGCGACCTGGGGTGACACCATCATTGAGTTTGGCCAATACAAGCACCAGAATCTGAGCTACTTTGATCTTGTGACAGCCACCGATGATCGTTCGACTGGCTATGTGAAGTGGTGCCGTGCTCGTGCGAGTTCAGCCAGTGGCCAGCTCAAAGATTCGTGTGACTTTTTGATTCATCACTTTGCGGAGATTGGGAGTGACCGTGACCATGGACCGTTGATCCCTGGTACCAGTATGAACCGCCGCTTGAAGAAATGAGGCATCATCCATGTACGGAGTTTTGCTTGATCTTGATGAGCTAGTGGTGCTCAAAATTAGCCATATCACTGAGCGAAGTCTCAGTACCAAAAAAAATGCTACACTGGCTCAGATCTTTCCTTTTGGGTTTTGAAAGATTGTTACCAGTGTTAATTTCCAACAGTGTGAGCACCATTTGCCCAGAGGTCCAACCATTCGTCGCAACCTGCAGGGGACTCTTTTCGCTCGAGGTGAAAACATGCCCGCGCGTCGGAGTGCACAGGGTTGCACCTGTTGATAGCCAGCGGCCAGTTTTAAGATATATATATTGAATGTATTGTATGAATTGCATGAATTGTATGTATTGTATGTGTTGTATGTGTTGTATGTGTTGTATGTGTTGTATGTATTGTAAGTATTGTTGGTATTGTAGGGTATTGTATGTATTGTGTGTGTATTGTAATGTATATATTGTATGTATGGTATTGTATGGTATTGTATGGTATTGTATGGTAATGTATGGTAATGTATGGTAATGTATGGTAATGAATGGCAATGTATGGTAATGAATGGCAATGTATGGTAATGCATGGTAATGTATGGTAATGTATGGTAATGTATGGTAATGTATGGTAATGTATGGTAATGTATGGTAAGGTATGGTAAAATATGGTAAGGTATGGTAACGTATGGTAACGTATGGTAATGTATGGTAATGTATGTAATGTAATGTAGTGTAATGTAAGGTAAGGTAAGGTAATCTATCTATCTATCTATCTATCTATCTAGATAGGTAGAGAATGTATGTAAGTCTTTATTTACTGACAAAGTGCTCAAAGCACCGTTCCTGAAATCGGTATACAAAGCACCGTTCCTGAAATTGGTGTGAAAATGTTGCAGAACAGATCATTGGCCGGTTGTCTCAGGGGGAAAAAATAGCCAAAACAAAAATGTCTGACTGGTTTCTTGTCCGTTTCCTCTCCAATATCTGGAAAAAAAAAACAATTTCGAAAGTCTCTCGTCTCTCATCAACAGCGCCCCCATCGCTGTGGTTGTTCACCTGGGCCCAAGATTCCATCCCAACAACACACCAGTTCTGGTCCCGAGCTGCGTGAGCCGCAATTCCAGAAACAAGAGTGGCAGCATTTGTATCACCTTGCAACTGAGGGAACTGACTAATTCTCGGCAAGGATTTTTTTCAATGCAGGAGCATCCAAAAAGAAAAATGCATTGTTCTGGGGAAGATGATAAAGCATTGGATTTAAGGGTACCCTGTTTTCAGACAAACCCAAGTGCTGATGAGGTTGGGTTGCCATTTCATCAAAAGATTCCGTAACTGGTGGTTTATGACTAAAACCATGCACGTGCCTAAAAACCCGCAATACTATATGCATACTTGTCATTCGGGGTAGGGTTGGGGTGGGGTGGGACTAATAGGGTTCATGTCAACTTGAACACACATGGAGTGTATGGTGTGCACGTGAGGGTGGAGCTGGGGTAGGGTAATAACGTTTATGTCAACTTGAACACTTGCACACATACGTCATGCTACGCTCTGGGATCTTCTCTTGCACTTGCACACACACGTCATGCTACGCTGTGGGATCTCCTCTTGCGCTTGCCCACATACGTCATGCTACGCTCTGGGATCTTCTCTTGCACTTGCACACACACGTCATGCTACGCTCTGGGATCTTCTCTTGCACTTCAACACATACCAATGGAACGAAAAAGTGACTACTCAACATAACCATTCTTAAACTCCATGCAAATGGTTCATTCTCATTATCCAAATGATATACCACATCTGATGCATTCATAAATTCATGAACCCAAAATTAAGTTAGTTTCGGACATCCGGATTTATACCTCTGGAAAGACAAAAACCCATGTTTCCCTTCAAAAATATGTTAAGTTGAATAACAAAGAATCTAAAACTGCCTGTAATTGACTCTTCCAAATTCATTCCAAAACAAATGAACCAAAATAAATGAAAACACACTTCTTGTCCTGAGCACAAATCTCACGCAGGTTTCTGTGGATGTGCACACTAAAAATTGCCAACATCCATCAAAGCTTTCGGGGCCTGAATTTTTCACCGGAGCCCATGAAATGTTCCTTTTGGATGACCAAAACGTGTTGGAAAAGCAACAAAAATAATCCTTGGGTTTCCATGGGGATTTGCAGCTCACGGATTGCTATGATCCGCGGTATATAAAGGGTAGTATACCCCCGAAAAAAATGATCAACTGAACTACTAAGCATCATTTGTCAATGATATTCCCATAGTTTGGATCCTTAAAGTCCTACAAATGCTGGTTAAATCACCACAAACTCCCCTTCTTGCTGGTTAGATGCGAATGTTTCACGAAGTTGGTGAATCTACCCAGTTGTTCAGCTCGGATCGGGCTCAACAACTCCGCTAGAGCCGATGATAATAACAATGCTGATAATTGCAATCAACAATAATAGTAATGCTAATCTCATCATTGTTGGTTATTATTAATGATTTTATTTATATCAGGAATATGCTAATATTATTGTAAATGATTATTAATGATGATAATATTTATAATAGAAATAATGATGATCATCAACAATAGAAATAATGATGATAATGATGACAATATTGCAAATGCTAATGATAATGATGATAATATTTATAATAGAAATCAGTAATCATTGTCGTCATCATCATCGTCATCATCACCATTAGCATCATACTCTTATGTGTCCTATGTTTTCTTTATCATCATAATAATGTATGCATGTGTAATATATATATATATATCCCCCCCCCTTTAAGGGGGGGGGGGTGGGGGGGGGTTAAAAATTGAAATAGTTCACTGGTGCCCCCCCACACCTAGAAATATTTCAGCTAAAAATTTCTGGTTTATAATGGTCTCTCCAGGGCCTGGTTGAATTCAAGGCTGAACGTCAAGCTTTGAAGGCTGTTTGACAAGTTTACTCTCTTATTTATTTTCTTGGAAACTGGCAGTTACCATTTACATCCATTTACCTAGTTGTGTGGTTTGCGCGTGGGCCCTACCCGCGTAAGTATGGCAATAGATTTTTTTCGGGGGGGACCCTGCTAGAACTGTAAAATACCATGGTTTTGCAACTACCCCCCCTCAAAAATTTCGCTGTTGTAGTTATTTATTTACCGCAGGGGTAGGAAACAAGAAGGGGCTCCTCCAGCATTGGCAATGGATTTTTTTGGGGGGGGACCCTGCTAGAACTGTAAAATACCATGGTTTTGCAACTACCCCCCCTCAAAAATTTCACCGTTGCATTTTTCTGTAAGTATGTTTGTGCCAATATTACATACATTATGTGTATTTAAGTACATGTATGTGTATATATATATATGAATGTATGAAAGTATGTATGTATGTATGTATGTATGTATGTATGTTCAAAATGAAAGGGTGTGCCATACCATCTCTGGGCTAAAATGTTGCATCCGGAGGACCCCCCCCCCACATCTTTTGGAAGCCCCAAAAACATGTGGGGGGGGGTATATTTCATGTGGTCAGGTGAAATATTTCTCAGAAATTTCTTGCCTTACCCCCCCCCAAATATTCCAGGGTTAAAGGGGGGGGATATATATATATATATGCATATATGCATAATAATTACGCTCATAAACATCAAGAAAAAAAATGGGTTTAGGGTTCAGCTGATACAGCTCGCAACATTAAACATGCTCACTCAAGCATCATAATTACGCTCATAAATATTTTAAAAAAAAACAATAGGAAGCAAAATTCCTTTGGGTTGTCAGCTTTAGTAGTCCCATCGGCATGGTTTTTGATCGGGTGTCGCCTGACGCAATCATACCACCCAGCTGAATACACCAGCTCAATAGGCCAGGTTGTTTTCTCAGTCTTTGCCTTGGTGGAATATTATTAGAATTATTAGACATGTTTACTGTGATTTTTGAATATATGGCAGTGTGTCAAAACCTTGTTCCCCTGTAGTTCACATCAAAATAGCTGATAAATGGATGTTCATCCCATTAAAAATGGTATGTATAGGTATTGATCCATACCCAAATCAATCATTCGCAATCATTTGGTGTGATAATTCGCCCATTGAAAACAGATCGTGTTCATCTGGATGATTTGCAGCTGCAAAACGATTTTTCAGGGCCTGTCCCTTGATGGTGTCCCATTGATCTTGGGCATGATTGTTTACTGTGATTTTTGAAAAACTGAATATTATTAGAATTATTAGAATTATTAGACATGAATAGCCTAGGAAGATGACATTATTAGAATATTTTAGATCCTCTTCCAGCTGGCTATTCATGTCATCTCCAGCTTTGGCACTGGGCAAATCTGGGCGCTGTCGCCGCTGTCGGCCGAGTCACGATCAAACCCAGGAAAACTCTGGAAGAGTTGTCGTTGACATCATCCCTGCGAGTGAAAAATAGTGAAAAATCCCCAAGTTTCGTAGTGCCCCAGAGAAAAAACTCACAGTAAAAATTGATGAGTGGCGTATATTTCCAACAAATGCCCAACAAATCGAAGACTCGTCTTAGAAATGCGCGGCCCCGTGTGAATCATGGCTTCTTCGATCTATGATCTCGGGTTTATACTGCTGACAAAGATTCAGAAACGAACATTGAACAAACGCTTCTGGGGGGCAAGATATCACTGCGTGAACGCAGTAGATGATGATGGGATTGTCATTTGTACCCTTTGGAGTGGTTGTGTAATAAATACAGGAATGAGTTGACCCACGTCGACCCTGTTTTTACCCACTGGAGTACAAAAATGTTCAGGAAAGGGAGCTGGATCTCCCTTTCAGCCGTTTCAAAAACTTGGATGTCCCCGAGATCAGCAAAGATCGGAAGTGCCGTGGAACCTCACGGGTTACACCACAACATCACCGAGCTGCGCAGTGGCGTGGCAATAGGTCAGCAGCACCACCGCAGCCAAGATCAAGGCTGTGGGGAGCACAACATTCACCACCTTCCCATGGACCACAGTCCTAACGCTGAAAAGCTCATGCCAGAG